AAAAAAAAAAAAAAAAAAAAAGGAAAAGAAAAAGTCACCTCACTTTTCAAGCAACTAAGAAAAGTTGGAGTGAGATGCAAAGGAATAGTTTTCTTTTTTTTTCCTACTTCAATGTTGCTTTCTCGTTGTTGCTTTGTCTAGACAGCCTCTTCGTTTTCGTTACCGTTATCAGAAATTTTTCCACACTTGTTTTACAAGATTACTCAATTATAAGCAGACAATTTTGTTTAACAGTTTGTGGAAAGCAGTTTCTGCAGGTGAATGACATGCTAATGCAAAGTGTCCAGATGGTAAAAGTAAGAAATAGAATTTAATCAAGAAAGATGGGGAAAACATTATCAAGTTTCAGCTGGATTGAAAAAAAAAAAAAACAAAACGCAAAAGCGCAAAGTAAAAATATTGACAAGAATGAAAAAATTTAGCAAAACATTAGTTTAGGTGTGTTTGAAATGAAAAATGAATTTTTTGAGCACCGAAGTAAAAAGTGAAATTTTTTTCCTGTTAAATTAAATAACAGTTTGAATAGTTTTCTGCAAAAACGGCAACAGAATTTAAACACACAACAGAATTTGATAGCTCTTAGTTGCCAATAGTTTTTCCGGCGAACCGAAGAAAATCAGATCAAATACTGTGTAGAATGGTTTTTGTGTCAATATATTTTTGTTAAAATGTTGCGCAAAAGAAACAACATTTTTTCCATATCATGAAACAAGAACAATGCTGAGTGTTTTTAACGACAGTTTCCGTATCAGCTGAGAGTTTACCGTCGAATCATTGGTTCTTTTGGCAACTATTTGGTCCCGTTGTCACCGTCAGAGCACCTTTGATGCTGTTCAGCTGGGCGGCCGGCAGTCGTCGGTTAGTAGCCGTTGGCACTTGCAAATTTTGCTGTTGTATCTGCTGCTGCGGTTGTCAAAGTTTCAGCAGACGGCTGCAGACGGCGTTGTCTACAGTTTTTACAGTTTTTCTACCACTACAGCACTGTATCAGCCAATACCTTGTGTCTAATTTTGCTTGCTTTTGAAGTGTTCGAATTGTCAGGGCGTTGGCGATATACTGAGTAGTGTAAAGTAATGATCATTGGTAACTGTATCATTTGTTTAGAATACTAAAAGTTTTGAATGGTTGTCTTTTTTTTCTCTTTCAGTTTCTTTGTCAACATAAATGAGGCTTAGGTGGAAACAATAGACGAAAGAATAAACTTTTTATGCGTTGAAGTAGCTAGATTAAAAATTCTTAATATTACTGTGTTATTTTGAAAACTATTTATGTTTTTGATAGTGTTTATTGCGTACGGTGCAGTTTTCTTTTGATTATCTTACAAAAGAAAAATAAGAAAACAGTTTTCTTTATCGTTTAAACAACGTTCTATCATTTCAGTTATCTACTGACAGTTTAGAAATGCTTTGACAGAAACGTAATCATCATTAATTATTATTTTTTTATCTTCATTTTTTTTAAACAAGAAAAAAATGAATTTTTTTTCACTAAAATATTCAAAGGAGCCTTTGCTGATGATAGTTGGGGGCAGCATTCATTCTGCAGCTGAGCAATTTTTTATTTTCACTAGTTTTCTTAATGCTGTTGTTTCGCTCTGATTCCTCAGGCCTTTGATATGATCTTTGAGATTGAGATGAACAGCCCAAAGCTGAAATGAAATCTGAAAATATAAGTAAAAATTTGAAAAAAAAGAAAAACAGCGAAGGCAGTGATTACAGCTTTTAGAAAACTGCGCAACAGAAACGTAATAAGATTAGTTTAATGACTGTAGTCATTGTGTCATGCAGAGCAGCATTTCAATCTGCCGCCTTTTTCCATTCCCTATTATTCTTTTTCAATTGTCTTTCTTTCATGAAATTGTTAAAGTTCCTTTTTCTTTTCTTTTTACTTTTCCTTCTTATTAGTTAGGTAGAAGAGCGGGAAGAGCGGAAATACATTTATCCAGTTGTTGTGCTGTATTTTTTCAATGACAGTGAAATTAGGTTAAGATTTTGCTCGACATCTATTAATTATTATTTTTTTTTCTAGCAGAAGAAGGACTGCAACAAAATTGATGAAAATGAAAATACTGCTAGTAAATATAAATGTCATTAGAGAGCTTATAGATACAGATAATCCTAAAAGAATGATGCTTATATAGCTGCTAATTCTTGCACGTTATTTTACTTATTTTTCCCAAGTGTTAATCGCCTAAATACTAAACGTCCATTTTGA